AAAATAATATATAGAGAGAATAGCTTGTAGATTTTCCTCGAGCAAAGACAGATACTACTGTGACTCTATCAGTGAATATAGGGGATCAAAATGTTCTATTGTTCACAGTTACATGGTTTCCGGTATATGTGGTAATGTGAGTGAATTTGCTGATAATTTCAAAATATAGAAAATCCAGAAAGGCTTGCAACTACGAATTGTCATTTGAATGATTTATTTTGGACGAATTTGATTTTTTTTTTTTTAACTGAGAATAAAAGATTGGTGATGATTGTGCTGGTTTGGATAGAGAAGTTTGAATGTGAGTAGCCCTAAAATTATTTTCCGTCACTTTAATTTTCTTATACTGTTAGTTGTTATTGGTAGTTAATCTTCTTTGGATACCGGCACGTATAGTCAGTAAACACACTAAAAATTTCAACATTTTTACTTCAAATATATACATTATTCTAGTCTTAAAAACGAGTTGAGTATAAGTTTGAACGTTAGATTTTAACAATTGTTTGTACTATTCCACATTTAAACCAAAAAACAGAACAACTTTTTAAACTGAAACAAGCTGATGATGAAGAAGATATATCTTAAAGACTGAATTGTGTTTTTTTTCCAGTTGTTCTAATCGTTTTCTCAATGTGTTTAAGTAAACAGAAAAAAACAAACGATAGGAACTTGACCATATAAAGTTTGATCCAAATAGACTGTGCAATAATGTGGGGCCCATTTTAGCCATCTCACATATATATTTCAAGTTATATATTTAATTGATGAGATAGTTGAGCCCTCAGGGATATGGTTTGGTATGTCGTTTCCAGCTTTCTGCGTTTGGTTTTCCACTTTCCCTTTTCAATGTTTTATAAATATACCTATATATTTTAGTGTTTCAGAAAAAAAACCTATATATCCTATTCCTCTAATTACACTAAATAATATTTACGTAAAATTTGGTATGTTTTTTTTTTGATATTAGGTATGTTCTTGTTAGAGGGATATGCTGCTGCTGTATAGGTTATTTTAAACATAAAACCGATAATCACTTGTTGAAGCATACTGTGGCGGTGGCTGACCTACCATATGTTATATTTTCATTAACAAAGATTTTGGTTCTACGTGATATATGATAACAAAAATAAACAATGGGGAAAATTGGATGGTTACCACGATAAGAAAAATAAAGGGAGAATTAGGCAAATACCATAAAAGTGAGTAAAATTAGAGAATTGCCCATGAGTTGATATTAAAACAATTTTTGCTTACAATTTGGTTGGTGTTGGACGAAAATGGCATTCTGAATCCTATTTTCTATATCTGACACTCTCTCTCCTACTATTTTTCCTCCCTTTTTTTAAACCACACATATTTTTCACACATTTCTTTTTCACATTCATTTCTTTTTTTTTACACTATTTTTTCTTGATTTTCTTTTAATCTACAATTTTATATGTAAACGATTTTTAAATTTACTCATTTTGATAGAAAAATGAAACTTCAACAATATTTATTTATTAACATATAATACCTAACGCATGTATTGACATCTACAAAATTTATTAACAACTAACATCTCCGTTAACACTTATAATACATGTCTTATTAACGGCTAACACATCTGATAACATTTACAAAATTTGTTAACAGTTAATGCCTCTGTTAATACATCTGCTACATGTATTTGTTAACAGTTACCACATTTGTTGACATCCACATTATTTGTTAACGGCTAACATAAGTGTTAACATCTTTGGCGATCTTAAAAAACTTCAATGCTGATTTTTTCAGAATATGGTGTAATTAAAATAATTTAGATTCATGAGAATAGTAGTAAAATAATAATAAATTTTTCGCAACAATAAATTTTTACACAAGAAAAGAAGATATTAACATGATTAAAGAGTTTGAGAATGAAAAAGAAGAGGAATCGAATGAAAGAGAAAGAGAGGTTGTGGGGGAAATAAGTGTCAGGAGAGAGAGTCAGATGCATGTAAAAGGAAGGACAATATGGTCATAAAAAATGGATCAATTCTATCATGGACAATCCTCTAATTTTGGGTCTAAAAAGGATATAGGAGTAAATAGTCTCAAAAATAAATACATTTTGAATTTGGTTTGAATTCTTGTTCTTGGACATTACAAAATAGTTTAACAAGGTTTTAGTTCAGTTTTATATCATTTTCGTTAGGTTAAAATGGCTTGATTTATAAATCTACAAATATATTATTTCATTCATTCTGTTTTAAGATAAAATTGATCTGGTTTGATGTAAACAATTTTTAATGTTGCAGTCTTAGTGATTGAATAAAACTAATTGCTGAGGTTTGCTTTAGTTTTATTTTGTCGATATTTATTAAAGCATGATCTTAGAAAAAACAAATATCTTTGACCAAAAAAAAGAATAAACAAATATCTACAAAAAAAAAGTTGTTGTTAGGACATCTCTAAACCTACGCCTTTAAAAAAAAAATCAATTATCATTTTGAAATAAAATCTATTCCAATCACACTTTATTTCCAACTCCAAAATAGAAAATGGCTAGATTTACTCCATTTTAAAATTGAACTTTTTATTTATTTATGAATGGTTCTTGTAATCCTTAATGTTTTGAAAAATATGGTATCACACAAGAGATTATCTAATAATTTTACATAAAAGATTCTTAAACTAATTATAAAACAAACATATATAATATAAAATAAAGATAATATAAAATAAATAATTTAATAATCCGATAAATCGCTTCTGAAACTATTAAGATTGTTTATCGTGTGATTCATCATTTCGTTTTGGTAATAGTTGTATTTGTTGACTTGAATATATGCATGCATATTTGGATCTTGTATGGAGTTCAAATCACAAAACAAATTTTCCTCTTCTTTCTTATGTTCTTTCAGTGTATAATTTTTTTTTGACTCTCCCAATAGTCTATTTTTTATACATTATGAAAGGTTTTAGTTGATCATTTGTGAGAAAAATTTTTGATGCTCATTATTGAACCAAAATGTATGTTATTTTATATATTTTTATGAGTTATTATATTTTTAATAATAAATATTTAATTTAAATAAATTATATTCTATGTTTTTTTTTGTAAATATAAGATAGTTGGGATTAATTGGTAAAATTTTTATAATTAACAATTATTAAATAAATAAAAATAAGAATATTTTGAAAAATATTTTTTTACAATAAAAATAGAGTTATACATCAGAATATCATCCAAATCCATTTTGGTGTTGTGCTATTTTATAGTTAAAATTGGAGGAACACATTGGAGCTCTTAGCTTTTGGGTTTAGACTCTTGCTTCACGAGATTTCATTGTCTCATCTTTATATATTGCGTTTGATTGTGTGTTTTTTTCTTTTTCTTTTTTCTGTTAAATCATGCATATATGTCACGTGTTAACTTCCACTGATAGAGTGATCGACTCAAATTAATATGTTCAACCTGTTCAGTTCAAAAAAAGATGTTCAAACTGCAATAATGTTGGTTAGTATGTTAAAAATGATGATTATAATGTATTCTGGATGTAAGAAAAATTAAACATAGTATTTTAAGTTGTTTAAGGTAGGTAACGTGCATTATATTTTGTTTGGCGTAACGGTTACAACGTATGCGGCCATCCTTTCACGTTTGCATCGCTTACCCAATATTAGCGGCTTTAGTAAAGGAATAGTTTCTGGTCAGTCTCTTCTCTTATCCTTATCTAATTACCCTGCCTTTGAAACCCTCTCGTTTGCTGAGAGGATTACTAGAGTCATCTATCATCAATCGTTGTTTTTTCTCCTCCTAATTAGAACCCATCATGTGTCGTTGATCTTAAGCTGTGTTAACATTGACACTATTATAGCATAACATAACTACTAAGAAGATATTCGCATACAGTCATCCAATAGATTATTCGAGGTTGTTTTAGTGGATTCGACACTATATGAATGGTTGGTTGCTAGTTATCTAAAACAGTGTTTAAGTGTTACAACTAATGATTATTTATATTACAATTCCATACTTTAAAAGTATGATTGATACTAAGATATTTTCGAAACCATCCACTAATTAAGCTGTAAAGCAGTAAGGAAAACTAATTAAGAAACACACCACCTTAAATTTGGGTCCCAAGACTCCCAACTAATCACCTAACTAACATACGCAAACTCATAACTAGACGTCTCGCTATATACAGATGCATAACCTTATCTATACGCATAAAATTATAATCTCTGCATACTCTTTAGGTGTCACATGGACATGGGTAATTTTTTATAGGATTCGAATGTAAATACAAATAAGTCTATATTCTGATATCATATATTTATTAATTGTTGCTGTGAATTTTTCCTATAATCATCTTATTATAACTCTAGAGAAAGAATCATTAACATGTGATATATTTTAGGCATGTAGGTACATTTAGAAACTGTAGAAATATCTGCATGTTTTAGATTTTAGAAACTGCCAAATTGTAAATGATTTTGAAATCTGTACAACCGCAAAAGTTACAAATTTTTATTTACTATTCAATTAAGAGTTTGCTGATACATCAAACATCAATCTCATTTTATAGCAAAACTTATTTTTTATCAAAAAAAAAACTTATTTTTATCTTAAACTTCTTGAATTCATATAAACTTTTGTGGATATACATACATTTACATCGCCTCAATTACTTTAGGAAACGGTAGAAATAAATACAAAGCAGAGATATCACGTCACGACTCCACACAATCATCAGGAAAGATGATTGATAAACATAAACTGAATTCGTTGTTTTCTTTTTCTTTACAAAACAACACTAAAGATAATGAACCAAAAAGAATCCAATACGCAAGATAATAAAATGAATTATACGTCACACACACAATCCACAACGTTAAATTAGCTTGCTCTCTTCTATAAATCCTTTCGTTACATTTCCCCTCCTCTCACCAAAACATTTTCTATTAGGAAACAAAAATATCTCTAAACCACTTTCTTTGTTCTTTCTTTCTCTTTCTCTCAGTTTAAGAGCATGGAAGGGAGACAATATTATGCTCTAAGAGAAAACGTAGACGCGAACAGAACAGCCATGGGAGGACCTCACTCGCCGTGGCATTCACCGGTTCCTTACCTCTTCGGTGGTTTAGCTGCGATGCTTGCTCTTATCGCCTTTGCTCTTCTGATCCTCGCTTGCTCTTATTGGCGCCTCTCTGGTTACCTCGACGGTGAGGAGAACCGGAGTAGAGACGGAGATCTTGAAGCCGGAGATGCCAAAGCTGAGAAGCCGGTGAAAGCTGTAGCTCTGCCGGAGAAGTTCTTGGTGATTATGGCCGGAGACGTGAATCCCACTTACTTGGCAACGCCGGTGGAGAAAACCTGTACTTGTGACGACGATGATGATGATGAGAACGTGGAGGGTAATGATCAGGTGGTGCGGCGGAGTAGTGAAAGTAACGGTGCGACACATTGAGAAACAGAGGAGTATGTGAAGGGACAAGAAGAGGATCGTCTACTTTGGACAGTTTTGAAGAACTTGTTTAGATCTGATCCAGTTTCTTCTGGTAACCGGGTCGGGTTAGAGTTCTACATGATGAGTCTGACCCTTACGATTGTTAAGAATTACTAAACAAACGAATGGAATTGGGTTGTTATTTAATCTGTTTTGCATCATTAAATCCGGGAAAATGTAAATTTATGAGACTTTGAATGGAAAATTTATTAATATGTTTGTGATGTATGGAAGTACGGATGTAAGAAATTAAAATTGTGACAATATGATAAAAAAGTGGTACTGTTATGGTCAAGACCACTTCATGTTTTTCCGTGGGATTAACGTGACAAGTGGTTCGGCAGAGTCTTCAGGTTAGAAAATTGAAGGCAACACCAAAAACACGTGTGAAGGCACATGCAGAAGATAGGTGGAACTAAATTCTCATAGGTGTCTCTGATGCGGCGATGTGAAGCAGTTAGCTTCAGTCAGTGCCCCCGTACCTTTACTAGTTGTGTAGTTTATCTCATTTTAGCATAAATTCTCTATGTAAATTATAGAGTAAATTGTAAGGATATTGATAAGGTTTTGAGAAAGACGTTAACATTCCTAGGTTTTATTTTTTTCTATGGCATCTTATCTTGTAGCCATAGGTCCCTAGCTAGGTTTCTACTTTCTTTTACATGGAAGCTATGCAGCTTTCTTTAAATATACTTTCGTCTACATTTTCAAATCATTTTATTAAAATGGATTACAAACTATAATAGTGAATTATCCATTTTTGTTCATAAATTAAATTTTATGGATAACCGTCTTGTTGAGTACTTAGTAAAGAAGATCAAGACAAAGTAAGTTAGTTTTGACGTGGAGAGGAAGCTGAAGACATTAAGGGAACAACTCACGTGATCGTTTGGGATTGCAGGACCACAAGAGGTGGTAGTTTTTGGTTTCAGTCTGATAAAGTAAAAACTACATCTGTTTGTCGGCTTCTTAACAACAAGTTAACGTTGAGACGTTAAATGAAGCGTACGGAAAGTGTGTGTCCAGCTGGAGCATCCCAAGTAAGATTAGGTTAAATGAGAGTTGTATATATAAGCTGTCTTCGCTTAGAGAGATAGGTGAGAGAACAAGAGAGAAGCAAGAATCTTTGTCAAAGTATAAGCTTGTANCTGGGTTAACACTTGTGTCTTGTTCTGTCGTTTACTCTGTTATTCTTCTCTGTTTTTGAGTTGCGTGTGAAAGGGGTTTCTTTGTTCTTCGGTTAATCTGAAACCAAGATCTGTCTGAAACTAAAGTTTGTGTCTTTGTGTGTGTGTGAAGTGTACAAGAAGTCAGAAGAGACGTCCTAGGTCTGAAGTAATCTTCACATATTGGTATCAGAGCTCAGGTTCTGTGTGTGGTTTCTTGAAGAAATCATGACTACATCAAGGATAGAGCTGGAAAAGTTCGACGGTCATGGGGATTATATGTTATGGAAGGACAAGCTCTTGGCTCAGATAGATCTTCAAGGGCTGAGCAAAGCTTTAGAAGAGTCTGATAAAGTCAGAGAGAAAGTCAGAGATCCGGATGAAACACCAGAAGAGAAGAAGGCTACTGATGAAAAGGAAGAGACTTTAGCTGAAAAAATCAAGAAGGCAAGAAGTATCATCGTTCTGAGTGTTACTAACAGAGTTTTGAGGAAGATCAGGAAGGAGGAAACCGCTGCAGGGATGCTGAATGCCTTAGACAAGTTGTATCTTGCTAAAGCACTCCCAAACCGTATCTACCTCAAGCAGAAACTCTATGGATACAAGATGTCTGAGAGTGTGTCGATTGAAACAAACATTGATGAGTTTCTGCAACTCATAACAGATCTTGAAAACATTGATGTTCAAGTCTCCGATGAAGACCAAGCTATATTGCTTCTTATGTCACTTCCAAGACAGTTTGATCAACTGCGTGACACCTTGAGATACGGGACAGGAAGAACAACTCTCTCTCTAGATGAAGTTGTTGCAGCAATATATGCTAAGGAGCTTGAGAATGGGGCAAACTCAAAAGGGTCCAAAGGTCAAGCTGAAAGTCTTTATGCAAAAGAGAAAGGAAATCAAAGGGGTAGGTCTGAAAACAGAAGCAGAAACTCTAGACAATCGAAGTCACGTTCAACATCTAGAGGCAGAAAAGTCTGCTGGTCATGTGGGGAAGAGGGACACTTTAAAGGGTCTTGCCCGAACAGAGACAAGTCTCAAAACAAACCAAAGAACCAGGGTAGTAGCAGCAAAGGAGAAGCTGCAATGGTGAAAGAAAACAAGAAGGATGCTGCAGGCTTATATGTATTGGAAGCTCTTTATTCAACAGATATAAATCTTGAGAATGAATGGGTTATGGATACAGGTTGCAGCTATCACATGACATACAAGAAGGAGTGGTTTGAGACTCTGAGAGATGTCAGTGGAGGCTCAGTGCGTATGGGAAACAAGACAACTTCAAAGTTTAGAGGCGTTGGGACTGTAAGAATCAAGAATGATGATGGTTCAATGTTCTTGCTCACTGGAGTAAGATACATTCCTGACATGGATCGAAACCTGTTGTCAGTAGGAACCATGGAAGAGTTGGGATACAGTTTTGAATCCAAAGAAGGGATCTTGTGCATCCATAAAGATAACAAGTCCGTTCTGCAGGGAAAGAGGCATGACAAACTGTATCTGTCACAAGGCAAACCTGAGGTTAGTCAGTCTTATGTTACAGAAAAGAGAAATGATGATACGGTTCTATGGCATAGAAGACTAGGACACATGAGTCAAAAGAATCTCAGCCTGTTGGTAAAGAAGGGTCTACTTGATAAGAAGAAGGTTTCAGAGTTTGACATGTGTGAAGACTGCATTTATGGAAAGTCTAAAAGGGTCAGTTTCTCAATTGCTACTCATGACACAAAGGACAAGCTTGATTATGTCCACTCAGATCTTTGGGGAGCACCGAGTGTTCCATTTTCTTTAGGCAAGTGCCAATACTTCATCTCCTTCATAGATGATTACACGAGAAAGACTTGGGTCTACTTTCTGAAACATAAGGATGAAGCGTTTGACACTTTTGTGGAGTGGTGTATCATGATTGAGAATCAAACTGAAAAAGAAAATCAAGATTCTGAGAACTGACAATGGTCTTGAATTCTGCAACACCAGGTTTGACAATTTCTGCAAGGAGAAAGGGATAGTAAGGCACAGAACATGTGCCTATACTCCACAGCAAAACGGTGTTGCTGAAAGAATGAATCGAACCATCTTGGAGAAGGTTAGAAGCATGTTGAGTGATTCAGGTTTACCAAGAAAGTTTTGGGCTGAAGCCACCCAAACTGCAGTCACTCTGATCAACAAGACTCCTTCGTCTGCAATCAAATTTGACATACCAGACAAGAAGTGGTCAGGAAGATCACCAGTCTACAGCTATCTGAGAAGGTTTGGATGTGTTTGCTTCAGTCACACGGATGATGGGAAGTTAAGTCCAAGAGCAAAGAAAGCCATTATGCTTGGTTATCCACCAGGGGTCAAAGGTTACAAAGTGTGGTTATTAGAAGAGAAGAAATGCCAGATCAGCAGGAATGTTGTTTTCCATGAGAATGCAGTCTATAAAGATGTTGTTCAGAAAGGAAAACAAAAGGAAGATGATCAGTATGAGTCAGAAGAAACTGCGTTTGATATTGAATTGGGAGATTCAAGGGATACTACTTCAGGTGGAGATGCTCAGAGTGAAAATGCAGGCTCAGAGAATGATCAACATGACACTGATAATCATGGTGCCTATGACCAAAATGTTGATGATGATCATGACTCTGAGCATGAACAGAATCATGAAGAAGACTCTGAAGAATCACCTGAGAGTTATCACTTGGTTAGAGACAGAGAACGCAGAGCAGTTAGAGCCACAAGGAGGTTTGACATTGAAGGATATTTCAGTGAAGATACTGACGATGAAGAAGATCTCTTTGATGCTGAATCTCTATTCACTACAGTAGATGGTGACTCCAAAGAACCTGCTAGTTATCAAGAAGCTAAAAATGATGAAAATTGGGAATTCTGGAAAGCAGGGATGGATGAAGAGATGGACTCTCAACTAAGAAACCACACATGGACTGCTGTTAACAAACCTAAGGGACAGCGTGTGATTGGCTGCAAATGGATATACAAACGGAAAGCTGGGATCCCTGGAGTTGAGAAACCCAGACACAAGTCTCGCCTTGTTGCAAAAGGCTATGCTCAGAAGGAGGGAATAGATTACTCAGAGATATTCTCACCAGTAGTAAGACATGTGTCCATAAGGATCTTACTTGCTATTGTTGTAGAAGAGGACCTAGAACTTGAGCAACTAGATGTGAAAACCGCTTTTTTGCATGGTGAGCTAGAAGAGAAAATCTACATGGATATTCCTGAGGGATATGAAGATAAGTTCAAGAAGGGTCAAGTGTGTCTGCTAAACAAGGCGCTGTACGGGTTGAAGCAGGCTCCTAGGAAATGGTATGAGAAGTTTGATGGTTACATGGCTGAACTTAATTTTATAAGAAGTTACAGGGACAGCTGTGTGTATGTGAAGACATGTGAAGATGAGTCTAAGGTCTATCTAATGATTTATGTAGATGATATGTTAGTGGCGGCAAAGGACAAGAGGTTAATCTTAGAACTGAAGGAGAAACTCAGTTGCAAGTTTGAAATGAAGGATCTCGGTCCTGCAAAGAAAATTCTTGGTTTTGAGATAAACAGAGACAGAACACAGGGGAAGCTATGGCTGTCTCAAGAAGGCTACATGGAGAAGGTTCTGGAATTGTACAAGATGGATCAAGCCAAAGTGGTTTCAACTCCTCTTGGAGCTCATATGAGATTTCGTTCTGCAACTAAAGAACAGTTGCGTGATGATGAAGACTACATGAAGTCGGTACCATATGCTAATGCTGTTGGGAGTTTGATGTACTCTATGATTGGTACAAGACCAGATTTGGCTTATCCTGTTGGAATAGTCAGCAGGTTCATGGGAAATCCAATAAAAGATCACTGGTTAGGAGTAAAGTGGATTATGAGGTACATCAGAGGCTCCATGAAGATGAAACTGTGTTACAGGAAAAGTTCCGAGTTTATGCTAAGGGGATATTGTGACTCTGACTATGCTTCTGATCTTGATGGAAGAAAGTCAATCAGTGGAGTTGTGTTTACACTTGGAGGTAATACCATAAGCTGGAGGTCAAAGCTTCAGAAAG